CTCATGTTCAGTCTTGTTCTTTTCTTGCATCTCTTACCCGCTTCTGGTCTCTGTTACCATTTTGCATCATCTTCTACCCCCCCCCCCCCTCCGTCTTGTCCCGTTTATTCGTAATCTCTTAACCCTCCAATCCACACTAACCGTTTTCTGTTGTCTCTTGTTATATCTTGTTCGCTACTGCTCTCCTTCCCTTTTTGTCACATTCTGCTATATACTGCCCTCTCCTGCGCTCTCTTGCTCACCCCACCTCTTTCTGCTGTCTTCCTCCCATACTTTGCCACCTTGTCCTGCCCTTTCAAGGATTTAAGATAAAAGATTGAGGTTCAATATTCAAGATTCGAGATTCCTGATTCGAGATTTGAGATTCGAGATTTGAGATTCGGGGTTCGAGATTGGAAATTCGAAATTCGAGATGCGAGGTTCGAGATTCGAGATTCGAGATGCGAGATTCAAGATTCAAGATTCAAGATTCAAGATTCAAGATTCAAGATCCAAGATTCAAAATTCGATTCAAGTTTCACGATTCAGGATTTAAAATCCATGATTCAATCTTCAGGATTCAAGAAGATTAATGAAAGTTCAGGAGAGTTCAGGACGATTCAGGATGATTCAGAAGGGTTGAGCAAGGTTCAGGAAGATGGAGCCAGATTCAGCTAGATTGAGGAAGGTCCTTAAAAAATTCAGGAAGATTCAGGAACATTCAGGAAGATTCGGGAAGATTCAGGAAGATTCGGGAAGATTCAGGAAGATTCAGGATGATTCCGGAAGATTCAGGAAGACTAACTAAAATTAAAGAATAATAAAGACGATTCAGGAAGTTTCAGTATGATTCAGGAGGATTTAAGATGATCCAGAACGATTGAGTGGCAGGGACAGGAGCAGGGACAGGGGCAAGGGCAGGGGTAGCGGAAGGGGCAGGGGGAGTGGCAGAGGCAGCGGCAGGGTCAGATGCGGGATTCGGGAATCATCATTCAGGATTTTAGGACCAGGACCAGGCCCAGGGCAAGGACCAGGACCAGTACCAGAAGCAGAAGCAGGAGCAGAAGCAGATGCAAATGCGGGATTCGGGATTCAGGGTTCAGAATTCCGTATTCCGGATTCGGAATTCGGGATTCGTGATTGTTTTCAGAGTTTTTCCACACCTTATCTGTTGGGGATGAGATTTTCGGGATTGAGAATTCAAGATTCAGGATTCAGGATCAGGATTCAGGATTGAAGCGCATTAAAGAAGATTCAGGAAATTAAAAAAATTCAGGATGGTTCAGGATTCAGGTTTCACGATTCAGGATTCAAAATTCAGGATTCAAGATTCAATCTTCAGGATTCAAGAAGATTAATGAAGGTTCAGGAAATTTAGGAGGGTTCAGGACGATTCAGGAAGATTCAGAAAGGTTGAGAAAGATTCAGGAAGATGCAGCCAGATCCGGCTTGATTGAGGAAGGTCCTTAAAAAATTCAGGAAGATTCAGGAAGATTCAGAAAGTTTCAGGATGATTCAGGAGGAATCAGTGGCAGTGACAGGGGCAGGGGCAGCGGGAGAAGCGGGATTCGGCAATTATCATTCAGGATTTTAGGACCAGGACCAGGATCATGATCAGGACCAGGACCAGGAGCAGACGTAGCAAGAGCAGGAGCAGGAGTAGAAGCAGAAGCAGAACCAGAAGTAGAAGCAGAACCAGAAGCAGAAGCCGATGCAGAAGTAGAAGCCGAAGCATAAGCAGAAGCAGGAGAAGATGCGGGATTCGAGATTCACGGTTCAAAATTCCGGATTCAGGGTTCGAGATTCGGTATTCGGGATTCGGAATTCAGGATTCAGGATTGTTTTCAGCGTTTTTCCGTCCTTTCGGGGATGAGATTTTCGGGATTCAGGATTCAAGATTCAGGATTCACAATTCAGGATTCAGGTTTCACGATTCAGGATTCAAGGAGATTAATGAAGGCGCAGGAAATTCAAGAGAGTTCAGGACGATTCAGAAAAGTTGAGAAAGATTCAGGAAGATGCAGCCAGATTCGGCTGGATTGAGGAAGGGCCTTAAAAAAATTCAGGAACACTAAGAAAAAATTAAAGAATAATAAAGACGATTCAGGAAGTTTTAAGTAGATTCAGGAGCATTCAGGATGATCCAGGAGGATTCAGTGGCAGGAGCAGTGGCAGGGGCAGCGGCAGGGACAGGGGCAAGGGCAGGGGGATGAGTTTTTCGGGATTCAGGATTCAAGATTCAGAATTCAGGATCCAGGATTCACCATTCAGGATTCAGGATCAGGATTCAGGATTCAGGATTCAGGATTCAAGATTCAGGATTCAGGATCAGGATTCAGAACATCATCGTTGGCTTTCTATTCTTTCGCGGAGGCTTCATCAACTTCTTACCTCTCATCTCCATGGACTTCTTCAACTTTGAGCTGTGTAGTGGGTTTCTCGAGCGGCAACATCGATCGACATATTCCCGACAAAAAGGCAAATAGAATAAAATAAACGAGGGCAAAGTGGTAATTTAATCGCAGAACAAAAAAACAATTTCAATTGTCGTTCAAGTTAGACACCTAATCCGATTAAAAACCCGAACGCCCGTCGGTCAAAAAATTTGAAAACTAACTTTTGATACGAAGTTAAACATCTACCCTCGCGCAACTCGTAATTGCATTATTTGTTTACAAATTCCCCAATGCAAATCGGTAATAACGGAGTTCGGTGGAGGGGTAGAAACTTTTCCACGCGGAAAAATTTTATTCTCCGCCCATATCGATTTTACGCCATCTGGATTGTCACACTATACTACGGGATTGCGCGTTTTTACACAAAAGGGAACGTATGGAGACAAGGGAAGTAAATTTTAAAAGTAAAACCTTCCAGAATAAATGAGTCGGAAAATTTATGACGTCGAACTGCTGTACAAAATTTATGGTCTAAATAACATTATGATAACAGGAAAATACATTTTGAGAGGGAAATTTAACGCTATGGACGAACTTCTGATTCGAACCGCTTTTTCGTATCATGCAAACTTTTAATTGGCGTCATAATTTAAGCGACGAACGAACATATTTAACGGAGCGTATTTTTTTAAGGAAAAATTAAAAAGGGAATCTAAAAAAATAACACGAGGGTGCACCACTATGTGAAAACCTCACATGATAACAACTTTTCTGTTTTGTTATCAGCCTTTGATGATTTCCAGACTTGCTTCCAATGACGCAGTTGAACTGCAAACGAAAATGTGGGAAATCTTGGAAAGGAGATTCGGAAAACTGGAATTTATCTTGGACTACTTAATGAAGAAACCTAAATCTCTCAAGAAAACAAATTGTGTTTCCTTTGTCTTCAACCAGGCCATTGGTCAAGCAAGTGTCTTGATCAAAACTGGCAATGCAAGAAGGAAAAATGTGATAAAAGAGATCATATACGGCCGAACAACGTGAAGACAAACGTTCTGTAATGGAACGAAATAAGAAACCAGCAAAGTATCAAATGAATGTATCGTTTTGTGGTTCTGTGTCATCACCGAGCCGTACCTGGACCGTTCAGGGTCGCTCACCATCTGGAAGTGACCTTTTAAAGTAGGTCACCTTTCACGAGATTGTGACTGTGGAAATTGGGTCAAGGTGAAACGCAAAGATTGCTTGCCCCCAAAGGTCAATGCGCCATTTTATGGTCACATTAAAATCTTCAAGGTCATCAGAGGCCAATGGTTTCGTCATAATTTATTTTCAAGATCATAAAAGCTTATTTTCGTGTTATAGTCACTTTCAAGGCCATTAAAGGTCCATGCCCCCCCCCCCCCCCCACTTTAACGTAAACTCTTGGCTATGGCCTGGTTTTGGCAATAAATTGACCATTGATCTCTGATGACCTTGAAATATGACTGATGACTTTCAAGATAAAATATGCCACCTCAAAAAATGGGGCCATTCACATTTGGAGGGCCAGGTAGACTCTACTTTATATGGTCTCATATCCCAATGACTCATTGACCTATAATGTATTGACCTCTGATGACCTTGGAAATAAAATGAAACCACAAAAAGTAGGGTTAGTGATCTTTGATAATCTGCAAAGTGAACCGTGACGCCACAAAAAGTGGGGTCATTTACCCTTAATAATTTTGAAAACAATATGTAGCACCATAAAAATGGCAACATTGACCTCTCATGACCTTCAAAATGGAATATAGCACCGCAAAAATATTGGACCATTGATCTCTGATGACCTTCAGAATGAAATAGGGCAACACATTGAGTCATTGAAATTTGACAACCTTCAAAATGAAATATGACACTAAAAAAATTGGGAGCTGTGATGACTTTGGAATAAAAAATGGCACCAAAAACACTGGAACCATTGACCTTTACTTTAAAAGTACAATATGACCCAAATATGGCCATTTATCTCTGATGACCCTGAAAATAAAATCTTAGAAACAAGGGGACCTTGAACTTTGTGGCAACCAATCTTTGAACTTTACCTTGACCCATTTCCCATGGTCACAGCCACGTGACAGATGACTTGCAAACTTCACTATGACTTACTCACCAAGCAGCTGGGCAGCCCCCCGTCTAGTGGTATGGGCACCTAACTTGTTGAGGAACAACGTAGAATCGGGGGGTCTGGTAATACCCCCAGTGCACGAAAATCTTATGGTAGTAGCTCTAAGGACCCCCACTGCAGTTTTTCCTAAATCACTACCAAATCTTCATCGCTTAAGGAGTGTTCTCTATCCCACAAGCTTTCGGTGCTACGTCCGATAGTCCCTTTCGTAAATCATACTGTAGGTGGTATGGACACCTAATTTTTTGAGGAACAACATAGAATCGGGGGGTCTGGGGGTGTGGAATACCTCCAGTGCATGAAAATCTTATGACCGTTATAGGAAAAGGAAATGTTAAATGTTTCATTTCTCCCGGGGGGTATTCCATACATTCCTGCCGTAGATTTCGCGCGTGCTCTCCCTCTCTCCCTCTCTCTCTTACACATTCACGGTTACAGTTGCTTGAATTTGAGGCTTATTCTCCTTTCGCATTGCCGTCTCTATCATTGCTTTTGTTGTTGCGTACATTGTAGGCGCTGGCGATACTTCCGTCGCCGTTACTGTTGCTGTCGCTTTCAGCACCGTCATCTCCGCCGTTTTCGAAATCGGTACCGCTGCTGAAGGTAGTTTTGCTCTCTGCAGAAGGTGTGCATAAATTGTGCGCTGTTTGAATGCAAATTTGCTTAAAGCTGACGTAGTTGCTGTCCAGTTTGTCTACTTTTTTTGTTGTCTTTGCTTTCTAGCCAGTATTATTTATCGTGATATTTTTCGGTTTTAATGTGGTTGTTGCGTCGCTGTCGCGTCGCTGTTGCTGTCGCGGTCGCTGTCGCCGTCGCTGTCGCTGTTGCTGTCGCCGTCGCGTCCCCGTCGCTATCGCTGTCGATGTCGCTGCCGCGTCGCTGTCGGTGTCTCTGTCGTTGTCGCTTCGCTATCGCTGTCGATGTCTCCGTCGCGTCGCTATCGCTGTCGCTGTCACTGTCGATTTCGCGTCGCTATCGCTGTCGATGTCGCGGTTGCGTCGATGTCTGTCGCGTCGCTGTCGCATCGCCGTCGCTATCGCTGTCGCGTCGCTGTTGCTGTCGCCGTCGCTATCGCTGTAGCGTCTCTGTTGCGTCGCTGTCGCGTCGTGGTTGCCGTCGCTATCGCTGTCAATGTCGCTGTCGCTCTCGGTGTCGCTGTTGATTTCTCTGTCGCTGTGGCTGTCGATGTCTGTTGCGTCGCTGTCGCTTTCGATGTCTTTGTCTCTGCCGCTGTCGATGTCGCTGTCGCTATCACTGTCGCTATCTCTGTCGATGTCTCCGTCGCGTCGCTGTCGTTGTCGCTGTTGCGTCGCTGACGTTGTCGATGTCTTTGTCGCGTCGCTGTCGCTGTAGCTGTCGCTGTAGCGTCGCTGTCGATGTCGCGGTCGCGTCGCTGTTTCTGTCGCTGTCGCATCGCCGTCGCTATCGCTGTCCATGTCGCTGTTGCTGTCGCCTTCGCGTCGCCGTCGCTATCGCCGTAGCGTCTCTGTTGCGTCGTTGTCGCGTCGTTGTTGCTGTCGCCGTCGCTATCGCTGTCAATGTCGCTGTCGCTCTCGGTGTCGCTGTTGATTTCTCTGTCGCTGTCGCTGTGGCTGTCGATGTCTGTTGCGTCGCTGTCGCTTTCGATGTCTTTGTCTCTGCCGCTGTCGATGTCGCTGTCGCTATCTCTGTCGATGTCTCCGTCGCGTCGCTGTCGATGTCGCTGTTGCGTCGCTGTCGCTGACGTTGTCGATGTCTCTGTCGCGTCGCTGTCGCTGTCGCTCTAGCTGTCCCTGTAGCGTCGCTGTTGCTATAACTGTCGATGTCGCGTCGCTATCGCTGTCGATGTCGCGGTCGCGTCGGTGTCTCTTTCGCGTCGCTGTTTCTGTCGCCGTCGCTGTCGCATCGCCGTCGCTATCGCTGTCCATGTCGCTGTTGCTGTCGCCTTCGCGTCGCCGTCGCTATCGCTGTAGCGTCTCTGTTGCGTCGCTGTCGCGTCATTATTGCAGTCGCTATCGCTGTCAATGTCGCTGTCGCTCTCGGTGTCGCTGTTGATTTCTCTGTCGCCGTTACTGTTGGCGTCGCTTTCAGGATGGCTGTCGTTTGCTCTCCCGCCGCAACGTCATCTCTGTTACAGCTGTTTTCGAAATCGGTACCGCTGCTGAAGATAGTTTTGCTCTCTGCAGGAGGTATGCATAAATTGTACGCTGTTTGAATGCAAATTTGTTTAAAGCTGACGTAGTTGCTGTCGAGTTTGTCTACTTTTTTTTGTCGTCTTTGCTTTCTAGCCAGTATTATTTATCGTGATATTTTTCGGTTTTAATGTGGCTGTCGCGTCGTTTTCGCTGTCGTGTCGCTGTTGCCGTCCCCGTCTCTGTCGCTATCGCTGTCGATGTCTCCGTCGCATCGCTGTCGTTGAAACTATCACTGTCGATGTCGCGTCGCTGTCGATGTCGCTGTCGCTGTAGCGTCGCTGTTGCTGTCGCCCGTCGCTATCGCTGTCGGTGTCTCCGTCGCGTCGCTGTCGCTGTCGCTGTCGATGTCGCTGTCGCATGCTGTCGCCGTCGTTATCGATGTAGCGTCTAAAGCTAAAGCTAAAGCTAAGGCTAAGGCTAAGGCTAAGGCTAAAGCTAAAGCTAAAGCTAAAGCTAAAGCTAAAGCTAAAGCTAAAGCTAAAGCTAAAGCTAAAGCTAAAGCTAAAGCTAAAGCTAAAGCTAAAGCTAAAGCTAAAGATAAAGCTAAAGCTAAAGCTAAAGCTAAAGCTAAAGCTAAAGCTAAAGCTAAAGCTAAAGCTAAAGCTAAAGCTGTTGCCTTTTCTTTTGCTTTCACCATCGATTTGGAAATCGTCGATCTACTCGTCACCGTTGCCATTGCTGTCGCCTTCACCTTTGCCGCCGCTTGCTCTGGCGCCGCTAATTTTGGTGTGTTAGCTGTGCCCGCCTCCGTATTTTCGTGTTAGTTGTTACATTTGCCGTTGCCAGTATCGGTAACGCTTTTGCGGTGGCTGTCGTTTTCATTTCCTTTCGTTGGATTTTACTTTACCGCTGTCGCTTCTATTTTGTTTACCGCCCGCACATTAGTAAGGGAGGCTTTGCAAAGGGGTAAAAAATGAGCATCCCCTCCCACTTTTTTGACGGAAATACACGTTTTGAAGCGACAGGAATCCTAATCAAACAAAATCTCGATGTCTCTGTTGGTTTTTGTCGGTCTCTGGATCTGCCGGTCTGTCGATCTGTCGGTCCGCTTCTCTATACTCTGATTTTCGGCTAAACGGCTGAGCCGATTTAAACCAAATTTGGTACACATATTTTCAGCGACCCAAGGAAGAGCTTGGCGGAATCTCCCATGCGCACATGTGTCAAACTCTCATTTTCGGCTAAACGGCTGAACCGATTGGAACCAAATTTGGTACACATGTTCTTAGACATAAAAGGACAGAATCGCGCATACGTAGGTCATAGGTGTGCGAGTGGTATCTAGCCACTGCAAATGTTTGTGCATTCACTTTCTTTTTGTAAGATTTTTGCCATAAAACGAAGGAACCGCTTTAAACTTCTCACACAACTTAAGTTAACGTCCTTCTGCACAAAATTATTACAATAATATTAAACTACGTTTCAAGTAATCAAATTGGGCCCGAATAATGCGTAAAGAACCGTAAACGCTTTCCAACCGTCGCGAACCAGCCATGTTTTTTGTCGATTCCAGTATTTAACGGAATACCACGTCCACTATAAAAAAATCTCCTTTTCCAGGATTTTCAAATACAAAGTCATAGTCAGACTTGATAACGCCGACTTTGCAGGAACGTGCCGAACCTCCCCACTTACGCCGAAATAATGCGCAATTCTTCGAAACACCTGCGACCTTGCTTTCAGGACCAGATGTACTTTTTCTTAGAAATTAATTAACTTTCGTTTCTCAAAACAGTTAAATAAACCTTTTATGAAATACGCAAATTTGACCACAAGTGTCTCACATTAAAGCATCTTATTCTAAATTGATTGCACAAACAATTCTAAAAGAAACAACGAATACGAAAATTAAAATTCAAATAAAATCAACCAACCCTGCGTATGTGCTTATTCGTAAGCATCCCTTTTCCCCCGATTTACACTTAATAAATATTGTCATATACAGGATGTCCCGTTATTATTTTTAGGGATTAGACCGAAAAAACATCTACATGACGTTGTTTTCACCACATTTCCCCCCTTAAATTGAACGTAAAAGTTGTTTCAGCGCCAAAGCGGAAAGTATTATCGCTGAGAAAAAATGGCGGACGCCAAATGACAGCACCGCTACATTGGCGCTTTGACAGCACTAGCCCGGTTGAACGCACCCATTTACATCAAACCCCCCTTTGAATACAAAACCAAACCAATTGGAATTATGGATATTTGAATCATTTAGCACCTTCAATAAGTCCGGATTTACCTTTCGATATCCGGACACGAACGCCCAAGTACAACTCCTTGTGGTCAAATCCAAGACATCAACCAGGCGTGCCAGATGAAAAATCCCTAACATGAATCCTTCTAATTTTTTCCCATCCTTTATCAATTTCTGTCTAATTTAACCCGTATGTCATATAGAGGGTGTCCACAATATCTTTTGTTGTTCACAGTAGTAAACTCAAGGCTCCCGTCAGTGAGCATTGGCGTTCTTTAGCGTTTGGTAAAAAGAGTAACAGGCGTCAATGAATCTCGGGTTTCTTTTCGGTCTCATCGTAATTTTCGAATTTTTCTCGTTGTCCCCTTCAAAATCCATGGCTCCCTTGACCAGCTCAGCTTTCTTGCGTGCTTTTTCGTTCGTCGACCTGGAAAATGTCTAAAAGGCTACTATCCGCTTTCAATATGTAACAAAAAACATTTAACGCCCGCCTGGAGAGTTTCTTTGGAGGGTTTGGTTGCAGCGCAATGAAATTTTCTTGAAAATCTGTATTAGAATGGGTCCCTTATAGTCATCTAGAGGCATTTTAGTGACTTTAAGGATAGCACAGGCCATTGGAAAGCTGGGAGCTTGGGGAGAAAACATTTGCTGATTAATGAAAGGCCCCTGGTGGCCCCTTGAAAACCTTTAAAGCTGTTGACCACCCTTATGCTGTTGAAAGCCTAGGCTCTAGAACGCTCTGGATCGCATATGTCTCTAGAATGCTTTTGGAAGCATTTCATTGGCATATACGTATTTGAAAGGTACCAAAACAGCGCAGAAAGTTCTAGAACGCTTCTATGGGTTTTAAGCGTTGGTTAAAGAGCATTTTACGAACCTTAACAAGTGGCTCTCAAACCGATCAAGGTCCTTTAAATCCGTTCACTTTTAATGGACCTTGAACTCGCAAATTCATTAAATTACCGACATCAGAAACGCCAAAAGAGATCACGTTCGAGGCTTTTCGCCTCAAGAGTGTAGCTACAGCCCCCGAAAAAAAAGTTTAAAGAGGGCGGAAATTCTCTAATTAGATTCCGCGAAGGCTTCAAGGGCTGATTTACCTCTTCTATCGGGAGTAACAGGTCCGAACGGCGACATATTTAATTCGTGTACGTTATCGCGAAATTTAGAGCACCTCGCCTCGGAAGGGCAATAAAGTAACCTCATTCGTTCTACGTTCGGCAAATAGATTGAAAAGAATTGGGAATTAATGTCCAACTAGCGCGTAATGTATAGTTTTATTTTCTCTCGCGCGCCGATCGAAGCTTGGAAGCTAATGGGGGTTGCGAATTTTTTTTGTGGGGGTTAGGGAGGGTGAGACGAGAAAACTTATTAATTTAAAAAAAATTTGCAACAACAAAATAGGAACGTTTTGAGAGACCGGAGGAAATCGATATAATTTTCCACTACCACCAGAGCTTATACTCCTAGAGTCACCCCCCACTTCTTATCGTTATAATACGCTCACACCCGGAGTAGCAACTTGACTGGGAACGGGTTCGCGTTTTTCGCCGCCATTTCAGTTTTCAGAGTGAAAACCGGAGTTTTTCGTTTCGTAGTTACAGTTAGTGGAGGCTCGGTGCGTTGTGGAGCGGCTCGCCTAATGTGGGTCGTTAAAAAAAAACGTCCCCAAATGTGAGGAGGAACACCTGTGACTTATAACTCTCGGGGTGCATTAAATTCCAATCATAACTCAAAGTAGACAGATGCGTTGTGTATCATAACTTCACCGCGTTTCCTACGACAATACAATTTCGGCATACCGTAGGGGAAGAGTGGCTTAATGTACTTTGCATTAATCATATAAGGGAAACCCAACAATTTCAGCTATTTCGAGATTGTTCCCCCGATTAATCCGTAGGTGCCGGCCCGCCTTTTTCGGTAGTGCGATAGTGAGTGAGTGTAGGTAGTTTTGTGGGGGAGAAAGAGAGAGAGAGGCACCCTCATCATTAAACCTAACAGGTGAGTTCACTTTCACTCGTCGCGAAAAACTTAATCAGAGTTCAACAAGTCACTACCTACTTCTTAGGCGCTTTTGAAAATTATTTCGCGTACGTGTGTCTTGCGAGATGCTCTCCGATAGCACTGTGCGTGCCTTTATTTAAGATTATGGAAAGCAAATTCAAAGGGGAAAAAGTGCGCATCTGGTTACGTATTCCGCTGGTGTTCATTGAAACGCTGATCGTTGCCGAACCGAACATAAGCAATACATCTATGACCCGATTAAGTGATGCTGAATTTTTAAAACATAGCCGAGCCGTGCGGATTACTCCCCGGATCAACTAATCACGAACTAGGCGTCTGTTAACGCTGATAGGCTAAGTCAATTTCAAACTTCGCGTGCAGCCCAGCAACTATTAATGTCTAACAGGCAAAAGTGTCCACTCAAGAACAATCTAGCCGGATTACGACGTCAAATTTTTGAAACATAGCCCAACCGTACAGATTAGTCCCGGGATTAACTAGTCAAGATGTTAACAATGGGGGGGCTGTAGTGAATTATTTCATAACAACCTTTGCATGGGTCATAAACTCGTCCCGAATTAATGTAATCATTAAAATTACAGCGGTTGCACATAGTTATTTCCTGAGAGCTAGTTGGGTTTTTAACCGCTGGGATTATTACTGGATTATTTAATAGTGTAATGCTGGACACTGGATAGTAAGCCGCTTTTCAGTGCAATTGATGGCCAACTGTTCGTTTCCTCTAAATGAATCGGTATATTGTCTGTATGCAAAAAAACTAGAACTGGGCCCACTCAAAAATTCAGATTCAGGGAGAGTGGGAAAATTCCGGCACGGAAATTCAAATTTGCCCGAATGTAAATGAAGATAAATCGATACAGAAACAATTAATGGCCGAGGAAAATATCAAATTATATATACACGAAGGTTCTATTACGAAAATCCAAAAAAAACAGATTTTGACTATGTCTTTTTCCATGTTTCGTCTTTGCTTTCGATGTTTTCCGTTTCGCAATTTTCCCATTTTTCCCGTCTAAGGTAATTTTATTCGATGTCACTGGATTCTGGATTACTATAGGAGGGTGGACAAGGTCCACGCATAGCCAGGTCTAAAATCTGCCCTACAGTATTGCAGGTTTATTTGTAGAAAATGGGCTTTCATACTTATGTTGTACACAATACCTGTCTATTGTACATTCTAATATCTTTAAAATCTAGTCAGGGGGGGGGGCGTAGGGGCAGCTTTGGATGACCAAATTTATGCAGTTGGAAATGTACATTCTGGTAACTCTTAATAAAAATTAGACGGGAGTAGACCGATACGTTCAAATAAAGTTTTTGATTAATGACGCTTTTCCCCGACATCGGAAAAATATGGGGCGGGTGTCAAACTTCAGGTTTTTAAGAGCGTACCTAACGGATGTAACCCCCGACTTGATCGGCGCTTGTTACTGTAACCCATTCAAGTAATTACG